CCACAAAAAGAGGAAGAAGACAAGTCTCACCATTCCTTTCCAGAGGTTAAAGGTCCACAGGGATGGCAGCATGAATTTATTTTCAGACATTTTCAGTGTATTGTTTTGTTTCACTGAATTTTTCTTTAAGTTTTTTTTTCTTCTGTAGGCTGGTTCTTCATATACTTTTGTTGTTCATTGTTTTTCATTCATATCAGACTCTTTGACCCCTTTTGGGATTTTCTTGGCAGAGATACTACAGTGGTTTGCCATTTCCTTCTCCAGCTCATTTTATAGATGAGGAAACTGAGGCAAATAGGATTAAGTGACTTGCCCAGTGTCACATAGCTAGTAGGTATCTGAGACTGGATTTGAGCTCAGGTCTTGCTGACTCTGGGCCCAGAGCTCTATCCACTGAATCACCTAGCTGCCCTTTCTCTCTAAAATAAAGCATTATAGACATATAAATAATCTATTGGTCAAGACTCTTAGAAAAAATGGGAAGGGGCCAGATGTCTCAGCTCTAATGCGGGCCCTTGCTTCCAGCAGCACTGACTGATAACTTCTTTGCCATTTTCTCATCCAGGTCCCTTGACCCTCTTGCCTAGTAACTGCTTTCAGACTCAGTTTCCTCATCCATAAAATGGGATGATTCTGGCATTTTCTGCTCAACAGGAATTTTGTAAGGACAGTGCTGTAACCATCTCTGAGGTGTACAGAAATATGAAGCGTTCTATCATTATTATTGTCTCAAGGTATCTCTGGCCTGGGAATAGGAGAGAAAGGAGAAGAAGGCAACTAAAAGGAAGCTTGTGCAAGGTCCAAGAATGGCCAAAAAAGTGAGTACCCCAACTCTACAGACATCCAGTTGGATATGTCCAACAGGCAAACTGGAGATAAAAGACTGGAGGTCAGCAGAGAGGTTCAGATTGGACAAGTAGATGTGAGAAACATCTGCATGGAGATGATAATTGAATCCATGGGAAGTGAGGAGAGTGCCAAGTGAAATAGTATTGAGACAGAAGGGAAGGAAGCTCAGTACAAAGTCCTGTGGGATACTCATAGTTACCAGGCATGACCTGGATGGAGAACTAGCTAAGGATACAGAGAAGACATGGCCATGGTGAAGTGCTCAGGGGCAGCTACTGTCTTTTACTTTTCTTTGTATTTCCAGTGCTTAGTACAGTCCCTGGAACATAATAGGCATTCAATAAATATTTGTTGACTGATTAAATGATGATCTTGGAGTAAATAATGTCACAAAAACTTAGAGGGACAAAAGTATCAAGAGAAGGATGAACAGTGTTAAAGGCTACCAAGTGACCAGAAAAGGGGAAGATTAAGAAAAGGACATAAGATTTGGCATGTAACAGATGGTTAGCAACATTAGTGAGAGAAATTTCAGTTGAATGATGAGGGCAGAAGGTGGACTATAGAGAAGAAGAGAGAGGAAAGCAAATAGAGGTGGCTATTGCAAATGACCTTTTCAAGGAGTTTAGCCACAAAAGGGATGTGTTTTATGGGATGATGATTAGAGGGGATGGATGGATTCAGGGAGAGATGTTTTAAGAATAGGAGATACACAGACATGTTTGTGGGTGGGTGGGAAGCAGCCAGTACACAGGGAGATATTGAAATGAGAGAATGGGGATGATCGAGGGTGTAGTCTGCAATGGGCTGGAAGGGGACCACTTGTGCCAGAAGAGAGGTGTTTATCTCAATAAGGAGTAAGCATATGTCTGTGTTTGAGACAGGGGTAGAGGAGGAGACAGTGGCAGAAAGCATCTGACTGATGTGAGAGGAAGAAGAGGAGAGAAGAAAGAGCTCTTGGGAACGACCTCAATATTTTCAGTAAAATATGAAGCAAGGTTTTCAGCTGAGAGGGTGGCTAGGTGTGGAAAGGAGTTGTGGGAGGTTTCTGGAGGGATGAAAATTTTCTGGAGAGCTATTGTGGTGAGACAGATAGTGAGTTAATTGGAGAAGTATAAAAACATTGCCTTGGGGCTGCAGGAATACCTTTATTGTCTATTGGGATAAACTTGTCACTGTTTTAGGAAGGAAGGAAGAGGCATGGAATACGTTGTGGAGAAATACTGGTAGACATTAGTCCTATCACACAGGACTTGGAATTGAAATTTTAAAATACCGTGGTGAATTAGAAACCAGCCCTTTACCAATTCACTGTGAATGCTTTTCAGATAGGGAAAATGAAATGAAATGGCATCTTGGGCCATGCCTTTCATTATTCTGATAACACAGCAAAGCAGCTGTAGGAAGAATGAGGTTTTCTGGAAAGTGATCTCCCTTGACCCAGGTTATGGAGAGCATCTATCTTGTTTTACTTGACAATTCTACAGGATATATTGTTGTCTCTGGTGATGACAGATGATGATTGTGGATCTGGGTGCCTCTGACCATGGTTCACACAATGTTTTCCTAGAACCACAGTACGGTTGTGCTTGGTTGGGTAATGGTACAGTTGTGTCTGACTCTTTCTGGCCCTGTTTAGAGCTTTCTTACAAACATACTGAAATGATTTGCCATGCCCTCCTCTAGCTCATTTGACAGATGAGAACCTGAGGCAAAGAGCATCAAGTGACTTGCCCAGGGTCACACAGCTCATAGCTGTCTGAGGCCAGATTTGAACTCAGAAATATGAGTCTTCCTGACTCCAGGTCCAGTGTTCTATCCATTTTGCCACGTATCTGGCCATGGTTGTGCTACCATATCCCCATGGAGTCTCTCTGATGCATATGTGAGTATTACTGTATTAGGTGGTTTACTGAGAGGACATCTGACAGAGCTTTCCAGGGTCTTTGTTGCTGAAGTGATATTTTTTATATCTGTTGATATCTCATCTAACTTAAGCTGCTGTGAAAATTAATGATAAGTCATTTCAGCAAAAGGTAAAACTGGGATAAGGACTTCTCACATTAGAGAGAGACTACAATGTAAAGAGGAATTCTGCCAAAGAATTTGATTCAGGCCAATAAGTGGCTATTGAAGGTTCACCAGGTAAAATTGGATAGCTTTTGGAAATGACTTTTCTTTTGACATTTAAAAATGAAACTTGCCCTTCATCCTTCTAGTCTGAGAATGGCTAAAGAGATGAGGGTACACTAGTGACATGAGAGTATAAGAAGCAGCAGAATTTAATAGATACACTGCTCAATTATGAATCAGAAAAATATGGCTTCACATCCTCCCTTACTAGCTGTGGACACTTAATAGTTGTATGACCTCAGTCAACTCCCTTCACCACTTTGGGGTCCAGTTCTTTCCTCTGTAAAATGATCTTTGAGGTCCCTTCTAACTCTAGATCTGTGAGACTAAGTGTAATTTGGGGCAAGTCCCTTTACCTCTCTGGGCTTCATTTTCCTCTGTAGCAGAAGGGGATTGGACCAGGTAGACTCTGAGAGTGCTTTGAGCTGCAGATTTAAGTCCATGATCCTGTGGACCCATTTGGTGCCTTGAGGTAAGGACTGGGTGAAAAGAGAATTGAAGCAGCAGATAGCAAACACACATAGAGACTTACAAGAGAAGCTTTATTCCTGATGGGGGCCATGGTCCAGTGACAAGAATAGTGGGATATGGAATTAGAGGAGCCAGATTGGAGTCCCAGCTGTACTAGTCCTACAAAGACTACATCTAGAGTCTCCCACAATGTCTGATTTTTGTGTACTTCAAGGTTAATTTTTCTTTTACACTGTGCTTGGGCTCCTCTGATTTGATACTGGTAAAGTCTTGTCCCAAATTGCTAGTTATTAACAAGTATCCTTCACGGCTAAGTCCAGCCATTTTCTTGTATATATTTCCTCCAAGTTTTGTCCTTATCAGTGGACGACATTAACACTTTGCTGGGTGCATGACCTCTGGGCTTGGTTGCTGGCCCATTTCCTTGGACTCATCTGTTTGGTGACCCTCTGCATGGCTGCCACACTCTCATCCAAGTAGAAGGGTATGGTCATTGGTCTCTTTTATTTCTTGGAACAGAGGTGACCTGGGAGACAGTGTTTGGGCTGATTTTCAACCCTCCATCACCTACCCTTTGTATTTATTGAGAGGGCTGAGTCTTCTAACATCTCCATACTCCAGTCAAGTTTTGGAGAGTAGAAATTATAGGCAGAGAAGGTGTCAATGGAGAGATTTTCTTTCTCTGGGAGTCCCCCACAGGCCTCAGGTATCTAGTCCCTGCAGCTGTCTGATCAAGATGTCTTCTTCTCAGCCTCCAGAGGCTCCTGGCTAGATGTCTGGGCCCCCTCAGGGACTCTGAGTGCCCTGGGTGATGCTTCTCATGGCTAGGACAGTATCCTGGAACCTGGGTGGATCCCTGACCTTCTGCCTCGACTTCCCTTCATTCCAGGGGGGAGTTTCCAAGCAGCAAATGCCTCAAGTTTCCTCCAGCCTAGGCATAGTCAGGGCCAGACATGCATCCATGCCTAGGTGCCCCCGTGTGTCTCCCTGCCCGTGGCCTGATTTTGTCTCCTCCTGCCTAGAGAAAGGAGGCTGAGACCTACCTCTTTCCCAGACCACCCTTTATTCCTCTGCTCTACGGGTTGTCAGGAATCCAAGACTCATTCACGGGCTGATGGTCTTACATCCACCGCAAATACTGAACTGTTTCTTTATATGGAGCCCAGGACACCCCCTCCCCGCCATCCCTGATATCCTTCTTTTGGTTTTCCAGAAAGGGGCTGATATGTGACAGCCCCAAGCTGAGCTCAGCTGCCACAGAGACCCTCACCCTCGAACACCAGCAACCTGCGCTCCAGAATGTGGATCCCTGCTAGCCCCGGGCCTTCCTCCAAGTGAAAAAAGCACTGTAACCTCCTCCCCTCGCCAGGCTGGGTGACGGGAGTTGAGAGAAAAGACTGGGAGAGGGGATCCCCGCTGCTCTGGGCTTGACAACATAGATCTCCTTTCCCTCTCTTCACTCTCCTCCCTCTGCTCTGGGTGGAGACTAGCCCTGCCTCTACTGTGACATCACTGTACCCACCCTCCCACCCTGAACCATGGTCAGTCTTCTTTATCTGTGGAGGAGAAGGAGGGGGAGGAGAAGGGAGAGGAGGAGGTAGAGAAGGAGATGAAAGATCCCAGAAATTCCTGCACTTTCCTGTGTGGATATGTATGAGGTAAGTCCCCTTTCCATTCTTCCTGCCAATGTTCCTCTTGCCCCTCCACATTCCCCCCTATATTTTTTCTGTCCCCTGTTCAATCTTCTCCTGAACCTCCCCCTGATGAGTTCAGGATGCACCCCAAGAATGTTGGGGTGCCACCTGAAATTATAAGGAATACACAGGTGGTCCTAGTGTCCTGAAAGAAATTCACTTGGACAGTTCTTCAAATTAAAGAACGGCATTTATTGGGGTGATGCACTCAAGCTGGTCTGCTCCCATGTCAGAGAGACAGAGCATAGGACCTACTTCCCATTGGAGGGAAAGGAAGTTGGCCAGGTTAAAGGTATGTTTTAAATACAGTTTTATTGAATGAGGGGGAGTGGAGCACTACTCCAAGATGTCACATAGTCCATACAGAGAAGAAAAGAGAAACAGGAAGGGGAGGGGAAGAGTGGTCAGGTTAATTGATGGTGCTTTGTGAAAGCACACTGGTAAGTCCATGGTGGGGGTCTTTAATGCATAGTCTTCTTTGATCACTTTTCTGGCTGGTCACATCCTGCATCTTATCTCATATCCTGCATCCTGTTCGCTTCATCTGCCTCACACACTCCTGCTGCCTCACTCCTCATCCTGCTATCCCCAAATTGGCTTGTTTTAGTGCCCATGGGGATTTGTGGGGGCATGGTTGGGTCAGTCGTGGGAGTATTCATAGCTTTGTTTATGCATGTTTTGTGTGTGTATGTAAGATCATGTGTATCTGAGAGTGTGTATGTGTGTATTTATGTGTATGTATATGTACTCATGTGTACCTGCTCTTCCAGGGCTTCTGCTGCGTGGGGCCATATGACAGCCCAAGCTTCTGCCTGGAGGTCTGGGGCTTGGGGGGCAGGTGTCGTGGAGTGAGTGGGGTTCAGTGAGGCCATCAGGGAGAAACCTTTAGGGACACTCCCTCCTTCCCCTCCTCAGGTGGACATTTCCATCCTTTCTCCCTCCCTTCTTCCCAACCTTGGCTTGGCCTGGGGGCTTGGGAGAGAGGAGACAGTCTAGGAAATTTTCCCCTCCCCTTCTCCATATCATCTCCTTCATTTGGAGTCCTTTAATTTAATGGTGTATTTGTTCTGGTTTTAACCAGCACCTGGTGAAAGGGGCATTTCCATGTACCTTGCTGGAGAACAGAAAGAGAGCACTGTCCCTGAACCTGTGGATGTCTGATTTACAGAGTGAAAGAAGAGAATTCTTAACATGAACTTCTCTCATTATGAAATATTTGGAGCATTTTGTCATAAGGCCATTGATAGATTGGATTTTTCCTTTGAAAACTTCTGGTTCATATCTTTTGACCCATAGGATAATGGCTCTTAATCTTAGAATTTGGAATCAGTTGTTTTCATATCTTGCATATGCAACAGTCCTTAGAGAACTTTACTGCAAAGATGTTTTTCCTCACTTAACTGTTACCTTCTCATTTTAAGTGCTTTTTTTTTTTGCTATTTGTGCAAAAACATTACAACTTTACAGAAGCAGAATCATCCATTTTACTTTCTGTGATTTTCTACATTGCTTGTTCTGTCACAACCTCTTCCCCGATCCACAGATGTGAAAAGTAATTTCCTCCTTGCTTCTCTAGTTTTATATTAATTCCCTCTTTATACCTAATTCATGTATCCATTTGCAGTTTTATTTGATAGGTGCTGTGAGGTGTTGATATACTATCAAATTTCTGCCAAACTGCTTTCCCCTTATCCCATATGTTTTGTTTTACATCAAGAAGTATGTCCTCCCCCACCAACACTGCTGTCTTTGGATTTATTAAAAACCATTTTATTTTATTTCTTTGCTTGCTTACCTCATTGTTTCCATTGATCAACATTTTGATATTTACTAAGTTCCAATTGTTTTCTGGATAGCTACGTGTCCCACTGGCCTTGAAGTCAGGAAAGCTCATGTTCCTGAGTTCAAATCTGCCCTCACTTAGTAACTGTGTGACCATGGGCAAGTCACTTAACCCTATTTGCTTCAGTTCTTCATCTGTCAAGTGAGCTGCAGAAGAAAATGGCAAACTACTCCACTATCTTTGCCAAGAAAATCCAAAATGGGGTCAAGAAAATTCAGACAATATCAATAATAATGCTCTTCATAGTAATTGTATAGTTTGATATTTGCTACTGATAATCACTAACCTAAACTCCTTTCTTTCTTCCTTTGGCCATCCATTATTACCCTGGAGATGCTTGACATCTTTTTAAAAAAAAGTTTTCTCTTTAGTACATCACCCGGGTATCCCATTTCTCTTTCCCTTTCCCCATCCTCGAGAGCCATGCCATGTGACAAATAGTGTTTTTTTTTTCTTTTAGGCAGGAAAAAAGCAAGTAGAACTGACCAATGCATTCAGGAAAAGGAATGCAATGTTTAATTCATGTGGGCCTCTTGCCTCCTGGACAGGGTAGGGTGATAGTGTCTTCTCATGTTTTCTTCTCAGTCCTTCATGTTCCTCAACAGTTTGTTCCATGTGTTTTTACACTTTTGGTGGGTTCTTTCCATTTAAATTGTTAGATTTCCCATGTATTCATTCTGTTTTCTTAGCTGCTCCTACTTCATTTTGCATCACTTCACAGAGAACATTCTAGACTTCCCTGTGGTCACCACTGCCATTCTTTCTTTGTTTCTTTTTTTGTTAGGCAATTGGGGTTAAGTGACTTGCTTAGGGTCACGCAGCTAGTAAGTGTCAACTGTTTGGTCTGAGGCCAGAAATGAACTCAGGTCCTCCTGACTTCAGGGCTGGTACCCAACCCCTGCGTCACCTAGCTGCCCCCACTGCCATTATTTCTTAAAGTACAGTAGTAGTATTCCATTATTCATGTTCCAGACATTGTTTAGCAATCATTTCCCAGTTGATGAGCATCTACTTTGTTTCTCATTAGTAGTCATCACAAATATTTAAATATATATATATATATATACATACATATATATATACATACATATATATATATATACATACATATATATACATATACATATATATATATATATATATATATATATATATATATATATATATAACTATTTCATTTCTTTAAAATGGTATTATAAATATTTTGGCATATATAGGGAAACTTTTTTCTTATTAATGTCTTCCTTGGGATATAAGCCCAGTAATGGAGTCTTTCTTTCAAAAGCTATGGACATTTTTGTTACTCTCTTTGTATAATTCCAACTTTCTAAAATGATTGTGCCACTTCACAGCTCTGCCAACAACGTGTTAGTGTGCCTATCTTCCCACACCCCTCCAACTTTGACTTTCTCTTGTGATCCTAAGGTTGTGCTGATTTTCATTTCTCTTTTCATTAGCGACTTGGGGCATTTTTGTATGTGCTTGTGAATACTTTGCAGTTCTTTTCAGAGGTGCTTGTTTATATCCTTTCACCATTTATCAAGAGGGGAATTTCTATGTATATACATACATTCATGTATACTTACATATATATGTATGTATGTATACACACACACATATATATTTATATGTACATATATATATACTTGTTTGTATGCTTTGTATAGTTAAACCATTATCAGAGGAATTTTATGCAAACAATTTTTACCCCCAAACACTTTCCTTCTTATACTCGATGCATTAATGTTGTTTGTACAGAATCTTTTCAGTTTTAAGAAATCAAAGCCATCAATTTTGCACTTTGTGATTACCTCTGTCACTTATTTGGTCAAGAATATATCTGTTACCCGTATCTGAGAGTGGTATATGATATTTTTAGTCACATGATGATTAAGGTCATATATCCACTTACCCTGTACCTTTTGGGGTTAAGCCTAATTTCTGCCAAACTGCTTCCCAATTTTCCCAGCAGTTTCTGTCAAATAGGGGTTTTTCTCTAGTTAACTTATCATTTCCCCCTTATCAAATACTATATTGTTGAGTTCTATTTTTTCTGAATCTCCCTTTTCTACACTATACCATTTGTTTATTTCTCTGTTTTTTAACCAATGGCTTTGATGACTACTGCTTTATATTACAATTTGTATCCTGAAAGTTCTATATCCCCTTCATCAGCATTTCTTTCAATCATTTCTCTTGATATCCTCTTTGTGATTTGATTTGTTAAGCATTAAAATTACAAATTAATTTTGGTGATACTGATATTCTAATGGTATTGGCATGGCTTAGCTGTGAACACTGAACATTCTTCCAGCTGTTTAGGTTGTTTTTTAAATATTTTCTATAAAAATGTTTTTATTTATTTCCCAATTAAAAGAAAAACATTAAAATCCATTTTTAAATATTGAGTTCTAAATTCTTTTCCTCCCTACCCTCCCCCACACCTTGAGAAGGCAAGTTATATAAAATCACTTAAACCCTTATCTATATATCTGACAGGAACATTTTTCCTTGCTCCTCTGATTTAGTAATGATATCACCATTTATGCCAAAATCATGTACCCATTTTGACCTTATGTTGGTATAGGATGTGACATGTTGATTTATGCTTAGTTCTGCCAAACTGCTTTTCCAGTATTCCCAGCAATTTTTGCCAAATGCTGAGTTCTTACTACCAAAGCTTGGATCTTTCTGTTTACTAAACGCTAGATTACTGTGGTCATTTCTTACTGCGTATTGTGTGCTTAGTCTCTTCCATTGATCTACCCTTCCATATCTTAGCCAATACCAGATTGCGTTTATGATTACTGCTTTGTATTATACTTTAAAATCTATTACTGCTTCACTGTAGGGCTTCACTTTTTTTTATTGATTTTCTTCAAATTCTTTACCTTATGTTTTCCCAGATGAATTTGATTATTATTTTTTTTCTACTTCTATAAAACAAGTCTTTGGTGGTTTGATTGTTGTGGCACCGAATAAACAAATTACCTTGGGTAAAATTGTCATTTTTATTGGCTCAGCATACTGATGAGCAATTCATATGTCCCCTCCTGTTCAGATCTGTCTTTATTTGTGTGAAGAGTGTTTTGTCATTGTTTTCATGTAGTCCATGGGTTGG